GGGAAACTTATTTTCTTTTATTTTTTTGACATTTTCATCATTTTCTTTTATTTTTTTAAAAACTGAAAAGGCGATCGGGGGGGGGGGGTAGAGTTTGGAAATGGGACCTTTAGTACCGGTTCGTGCCATGAACCGGTACCAATGCCTCAAACCCCATTAGTACCGATTGGTGGCTCGAACTGGGACTAAAGGTCTAACCTTTAGTACCGGTTGGTGCCACGAACCTGTACTAATGGGCATCGCACCCTTTAGTCCCGGTTCGTGGTACCAATCGAGACTAAAAGGTCCAGACGAACTGGGACAAATGGCCCACGTGGCCCCTGGGCACACGAACCAGGACTAATGCCCCCATTAGTCCCAGTTCTAGACTGAACCGGGACTAATGGGCTAACCCGGAATTGATCAAAGCCCTTTTTTCTACTAGTGTACTGCTAAGTACCAGTAGCACGTCATTTTACCCCGCGCTACTGCTAAGATTTTGTGTATAAGGTTTTCCCTGGTAGTGATGCTTCTCATGGTTAATTAGTATATTAAAAGTTTGTTGAAACTTATCATGTAATTAGCACCTCGAGGACAAAATGTTTTTATTTGGTGAAATCCTCAAACGGTTAGGTTTTTTTGGTGAAACCAGCCCACCAGGATTCAAGTCCTAAACTTGGAATGGTGTCGGCTCAGTATCTTGAAGATTCTCATAGGGATAAGGTGTATGTTCATAGAAATGATTGTATGTGCGTATATATAACCATCTGCGCTTTACAACAACTAAAAGAAGAAATGTTCTTATTTGGACCGGTACTGTAAGCTATATTTGTTCTGATCTCTCTTTTGATTGTTGTGGCTGACGTGCCTTCCTACTTGCCTGTCAAATTATTGCGTCCAGGTCGCTTTTTTCTCCGCCATTTGCTTTAGGGCCCACTCCTCATAATTGGTCCAATAAAGTTTTGGTAAGTTTTGCTGCATTCTTATTGATTTTTTCAACTTATCTTATAGTGATGGACTTATTAGATGATACGTAAAACGATTATCCATGTGAATGTTGAGTGGCGCGAGGCACGAACTTAGTTCTTCTTTTTTGAACACGATACAGACGAAGATGATTATGGACTCGTACATACACTCATTTTTATGAACATCTTGAGATTTACGAAGTCATCATAGACATCTCGTAGTTAACGGGAAGACTCCTCCTACTGAACGAACATCGCCGAAAAGTCTGAAATAATAAATTCAGAAAAATGCGAGCTTACTGTCCCATAGCCCCCGATTCCAATTCTTTAAAGAAGGACCATTGAGGCCCTAGCATGAAGACTTCCCAACTGTTTATTACAACAAAAGTTTGCCCGGCTCCCATGAAGGAGGGGCGATGACGGCAGCGCGCCTTTGACTCGCTCTACTGCTTGTAGTCGTCGCTAGGTGGTTCATGGATCTGGTTGTAATTTTTATTACGTCTAGTGTTCTCTATGCTGCCATAGTTAATGGATAGATTGAAAATTTCTGTCCCCTAAAGAAAAATTGAAAATATCTGTCACGCAAAAAAAGTGCAACAATCTGGACGCGACACGACTAAGCAGTAGGAGTAGGCGAGCGGGCCCCATTTAAATTACGGAGTATGCTGGTGACGGTGACGTGAACGGCCGAGAGAGAGATTCCAAGCCAGCCGTAGGGCCGGGACGCGCCAGCCAACGACAAACCAGCTTCAAATTGACGGCCGATATTTCTCCGAGGACACCCCACACGTAGTAGGTCGGCAGAAAGCGCAGCCAATCGGCCATGCACAGCTGACTGAATCATTAGTGGGTGGTATGCTTTCCCTTTGCCGGCGCATAATAAAAGGAGAGAAGTTTCTCTCGCTTATTCTGGAATCCAAACACCGAGCACCATCAATGGCGACGGCGTCACCCCGCCTCCTTCCGCTCGCGCTGCTGCTCCTCCTGCTCGCCGTGGCGCACGCCGGCACCCCACGGCTGGTCCTGGAGCCCACCCTTCGGCTGCCGTCGGCGGCCGGGCAGGGGGACGATGGCTCCGTCGGGACCAGGTGGGCCGTCCTCGTCGCCGGCTCCAACGGCTACCAGAACTACCGCCACCAGGTGCGCACGCTCTATCATGGATTCTACTCTTTGCTCGTTGGCATCTCCTCCCGCCATCCTTCAACCTTTCTCTTCCTGTCGGTCAAGAGTATTCCTTCATGGGAAAGTAGTGGCTGAACCGCGGGGCGCTGCACCCGGCCGCTTGTCTATCCATGCTGTTCAACGGCTACCTAGGAGATGGATGAGCTACGGAGGGTTAGAGTTAGTACACCGTTTTGTCATGCTACTATGAAATACGCTCGTTAAGGTCACTGAATATGACTCGTGACGATTGTACCGTCGTATTTCGCCTACGTGGCACTCTGTTGTGGCACTCTGTTGACCGACCAAACGGTCCACATGTCAAACAATACTGCCCTCTCAGCTGGCAGCTCTCTCGCTAGTCTCAAATCATGCAGGCCCCGCCTGTCGGTGGGTAGAAGAAATAGATAAAAGGAGCTAAAGAAACGGGGATCATTTTGTTAATAAGTTGTACAGAAATGGCCAAGTGTTCAAACATTGTCATTACGGGTTAACCATTGAATGGAAGGAAGGTGTGCCCAAGTCCCAAATAATCGTGTTTTTTAACAACAATCACGTACGTACAATTGGCACAAATTACATGGCTGGAGAATCAGTCCGCCATGTGTCGGTGCTTTCTCTGACATCAGTACTGTGCGCCCATGAGCCAAATAAGAGTGCGGGCCTCGATTACTGTTCACATAGGCCCAGGGGCCGTGGACCCTCTTGGGGACCAAACAAGGCCGTGGCCTGTCCTTTTTTCTGGACTTTCTTTGAGAATTTGATCCGGATTCGGCCGAATAACAAAGGATGCCCATTAAGTAAGCTATTGGCCCGCCCTTGGGCCATTCTTTGAGAATTTGATCTGGATTCGGCCCAATACCAAAAATGGCCCACTAAGTAAGCTATGCCCGTTCTTGGTTTTGTTTTATGCTCCGCCACTGCATAGACTTGCAGTCCCCAGCGACCTGGCACATATCTCAATGCGACCAGCACACAAACAAATGGTGTACATAGAAGGTACAATGCATGGCCATAAGAATATGTTGAAAAAAATGTTCCGTTTGGTGTTGCTGCACATTCCAGATTTTTTTTCCTCTTAGTTCGTTGGGTTGATGACAATGAAGTATTGTGTTTAATTTGTGGACCGAATCTTTGCACTTTGCAGGCAGATATTTGCCACGCCTACCAGATCTTGAAGAAGGGTGGTCTCAAGGATGAGAACATCATTGTCTTCATGTACGACGATATTGCGCACAACCGGGAGAACCCAAGGCCGGGCGTCATCATCAACCACCCCCAAGGTGGAGATGTCTATGCTGGGGTCCCTAAGGTAATCATGCATGGGTCTTCGAGGAAAATTTTCCAGTAATTATTGTTGATGTAGTAAAAACCTAAGATTAATATGGATTACCTTAGTGGATGATACATACTGTTTGATGGTTGCAGAAAAATGTGAATATGATATAATAGAAATTACAGGAACAAAAATTCCAATGGCAGTTTGTACCTCATTCAAAATCATTGAATGTCAAAATTTTGACCAGTCTTTATGCCACTTTCCAGTTGGTATTGGATGTCAAATTTCTATGTGATAGTGTCAACATCTTGATGGAATGAACCAATATATTCCAATGATCATGTATCCCTATCCAGTATCCCCCATTTTCCTGCCTGTTTGACTGAATCTCCACTGTAGGACTACACTGGGAAGGAGGTTAATGTCAAGAACTTGTTTGCTGTCCTGCTCGGTAATAAAACCGCAGTAAGTGGTGGGAGCGGCAAAGTCGTTGACAGTGGCCCTAATGATCACATTTTTGTGTTTTACAGTGACCATGGGGGTCCTGGGGTCATTGGTAAGTATTCAGAACATGCAATTCTTGTATTGTCTTCTTTCGAGAATTTTAATATCTAAAACCAGTCAGATATTTCATATACATGCATACATACATACAAATCTAGACATGCACAATTAACTTATTAGTGTCATGGTTTTCTGTTCTGGTAAAACTTTCAGGGATGCCGACCTATCCATACGTTTACGGTGACGATCTTGTAGATGTCCTGAAGAAAAAACACGCAGCTGGAACCTACAAAAGCCTGGTACCCCATCGTCCTTTGGTTATTTTTGCTGCGCATGGTTTGCTGCTTGAAGCAATGGCTTGACTCTTATTTTGTAGGTATTTTACCTTGAAGCCTGTGAAGCCGGAAGCGTCTTCGAGGGGCTTCTGCCGAATGACATCGGTGTCTACGCGACCACTGCGTCGAACGCAGAAGAGAGCAGTTGGGGAACGTATTGCCCCGGCGAGTACCCCAGCCCTCCGCCGGAATATGACACCTGCTTGGGCGACCTGTACAGCATTTCTTGGATGGAAGACAGGTATTCCGCTTTGTTCTACCATGTTTTCCAATCATTCACATGCTAAAATCATGGTTAGATATAGTCAGTTCGAACACACCTGTGGCACTCATGTCATTAGTATTTTCCGGTACCGTACAGGTGTGTTGTTTCAAAATAATTAACTAGTAACTAGTACGGCACTTATCAAACTGCACTAGAACGAGATGTCACTTACATGTTCTCATGTTGGCTGCCATTGTAGTAATTGTACCATTCACCATTTTATAGTTGAACCCTGAGTCAAACCTTGGGTCATTTGTTTGAAACGAACTAGATTTTTAGTTATGGTTCATAGTCGTGGTGAAGTAACGTGCAACTTTTAATGTTGACAGTGATGTGCACAACCTGAGAACTGAGTCTCTGAAGCAGCAATATGACTTGGTAAGTGCCTAAAACTCCAATTTATTTATTTTAGCTTATTAATCTTGGAGGAGTTCTTTCCTAACATAACTAGTTTTTTTCTTTTCGGGGGCCTAACATAACTTGTTAATGGTTGAGCAGGTCAAGAAGAGAACAGCAGCTCAGGACTCATACAGCTATGGTTCCCATGTGATGCAATATGGTTCTTTGGACCTGAATGCTCAACAACTCTTCTTGTACATCGGCTCGAATCCTGCTAACAATAACACTACATTTGTTGAAGATAACTCAGTGCCGTCCTTCTCAAGAGCTGTTAATCAGAGGGATGCTGATCTTGTTTACTTCTGGCGCAGGGTACGGTTTATAATTATTTCATGAGAAATATCTCATGTTGATTGGTTGTCACGTCATCCCTAGATCATTGCCATACTTTACCCACAAAAATAGAATGTGCATAAATAATCTCAGTACAAAAAAGATGGATAAACTAACCGATTGATTTCTTTTCTTCTACATGTAGTACCAAAAATTGGCTGAGAGTTCCCCTGAGAAAAACGATGCCCGAAAGCAATTGCTCGAAATGATGAGTCATAGAACGCATATCGACAATAGCGTCAAGCTGATTGGAAACCTTCTGTTTGGTTCTGCGGATGGTTCAATGGTTCTAAAGACTGTTCGCCCAGCCGGTGAGCCTCTTGTTGATGACTGGAGTTGTCTCAAGTCTACGGTAAGGCTCTATTTGACTTTGCTTGGTCATTTATCAAAATCTCTTATCTTACTTATGCTTCTGTTGTCTATTGTTATTGCCTATTGGTTATGTGTTGAAAAAATTGTCTGGAACTACTGGGACAAAATTCTGTAGATAAAATTGTTGTTATTAGTTGACTGTGACTGACAAATACTGTAGAATATTTACCGATAGTACTGGAAGAATGGGATATATATATTCAGGACTAATATTGTCCTGAATATATCCCAATATTATTGAGGATCGATAATTTCTGGATTGAAACTTGGATGCTGTAACTAGTTTCTTCACTTCGACATATTGCTAGCTCTCTCTTGACTGTATATATACATACAGGTGTCATATGACATAAAATTAATGCAGTTACAGCATGTAATTTCTTCTGCCCCTGCATGCATGACTAATATTGTGTCCTCCCTTTCTACAGGTGCATGCTTTTGAATCACAATGTGGCTCGCTGGCGCAGTATGGAATGAAGCACATGCGGTCCTTTGCAAACATCTGCAATGCCGGCATTCTTCCTGAAGCGACGATGAAGGTGACCGCTCAGGCATGCACCAGCATCCCAACCAACCCCTGGAGTGCCACACACAGAGGTTTTAGTGCTTAAACCATAGGTGAAGCGACTTAGTCACTATTTCAGCTATTGTACCATATACCAAAGTCACTTCCTATTCACACAGGGTTAGTACATAGTGCTTGAACAAGCCTTAGATGTAGATGAATAAGAATTATGCCCTTATTTACGCTATTCCACGACACCAGATTACCTTCTTTGTGCCCAACTTATAATGTACATACACCATAGTAGAAAGGTGATTTACTGTGATTGTTGTACATACTCTCTTTCTCTCTCTCTCTTTTTTGCGAAAGGATTGTTTGTTATACATACTCGTGATAGTTTGTGATCAGTTGTGTAGCTCGCAATTCCATATATGAAGAATGCAGACGTTGCTATTTCTATGTAGACCGAGTAATCTCATACCATGAGCTATTATTTTCCCATCCATTTGAAACCCTGCAGCTACTAGGGACCAAACCATCAAATATCCAGTTCCGACAGGCTTCGGGGATAAGTGGACAACACAACTCGATTTAGGGCATCGGTTGATGACAATAACCTTAACTCATGAACTTCATTCCTTCCAATGGCAGTCAACTTCTTCTGGTGTATTCTCAATGCAATATATTTGTGAG